GAGTGGAAAACAAACAAATAAATGATAAATCGAGCCGCATTTTTGCTGTTCCTGGAGGCAGCCTGGAAGAGAGAGACAGTCTTGTGGCTTAGGTCACGTGACCGCTCTGGATCAGCCTCTGTCTTCCCCAATCATTCTCTTTAGTTAAAGAGAATGTCTGGCTCAATGAGCTATTGTGAGGTTTAAAGAAAATGCACGCAGGGAATCTTAACACAATGCCTCGCTCTAAGCAGCTCAGTAATGTAATAAGCATTATATGTAGCAGGATGTTAACTATCATATGTTGTATATGAAACAGTAAATATTATATGTCAAGGATGTGTATTTTCTGTGGTCCTCTATACTAGTATAGGATATATGTTTTCCAACGCAGGGAAGTGATAACATTGCAGAATTAACTCCCAGAGGGTTAGGAAAGAGTAAGCAACTCGTCATAACAGAGATGCACTTGCCTTCCTCAGGGGACCTGGAGGTGAGAGAGCCCCAGCGACATGGGTGTACCGGTTCTTCTGTTTGTCACCCTAGACCGGCTATTCTCCCTAGCAGGCTGTCTCCTGAGATCGCTATTATTTGAGCTCCCTTGCTGGCTAGCCAGCAGTTGGGTTCGGCCAATGTGAGGCACTGGCAGGAAATCCCTGAGTAAGAAGAGAATGTTCTAGGTGTATTTCTTCCTACTGCCTCCCTGCATTGGAATTGTGTCTTTGGCAGCATTTCCATCCTTCCGGGACTACACTATGGTTGGGCGGCTTCTCTCAGCCCTCACTGCAATCTGGTGCTACTGTTCCCTTCCCTTGTCCCCTCACACCTGGGTGCTAATGGCTTTTCATGGTTTCAAATCTGTGTGTGACAGCATTCCTTCCATATCTCATTAACCCTGTGCACACCCCTATGAACAAGCCCTTCGGCACAGTCTCTTTGAACCATCTGGGCAAAGGCTATTTTTTGCTAGGACCTTCTCTAGTCAGGGGTCTCCAAGGATCTCACGAGTACACTCACTAGAGAAAGATAAAACTGCAAGTAATCTGGCAGTTCCAAAAAGTGCCAACCAGTTCATCATAACAGTGCAAGTAATAATTTTCCTGGAAATATTAGTGAGCTAGAGGCGGAATAGTAAAAGCCCAAAGTAGGAGAACGAGAGAGGCTGATGCAGATGGCAGTAAGTCAGAGCTGGGGCAACGGGAGGAGACTCCAGCTCAAATATGAATTTCAAAGTTTGAACTATTACCTGAGATGATGTATTGAATATTAACCTGAGAATAAGTAGACAAGCCATAGGAACTGCTTCGGTTTTTATCCAGGGGAGGAGGAAAAACAAGTCCCAACAAGTGTATTTAAAAGGGGGGTAGGAGGTAAATTTGCTTTATCCTTATATACCGGGCCTGCTGTTCACTACAGCGCTCACGTAGTTTCAGTGGCCTGTGTGGTAGCCATAGGTCTAGCAAGATTGACTTGTACAGCATAGGTCACGTGGGCGAGCCCAGCTGGGATTCGGCTGCCTGCCTTCCCAGCTCTGGCCTTGTTACCAGATCCTCAATCTTGACACACTGGATGGCAATGAACCTGTTCATTTTCTTATCATTTTACGGCCAGAGGATGTTTCCCTCCTATTTCTTTGCCCTAGTATGATCTTTACAAATGCCACACTGACTTGCAGATGTATGTTTATGTTCTTAGGTGGCACCACATGACAGATCACCCCAGCTTCGTTCGTGTAACTGTTGGTCTGTACTCTCAGTAGAAAGAGAAGATGCTTGGATTGCTCACAGAAATCAGCGGTGGATTTATAGGAGGGCAGTGGGTCAGAGAAGAACTATGTAGGGAAGGACTGCTGTCACCCTAACCCAGTGGTTGGCAAACCACAGCTCTTGAGCCACCTGTGGCTCTTTGGCACCTTGAGTGTGGCTCTTCCACAAAATACCACGTGCGGGCGCACACGTACAGTGCGATTGAAACTTCGTGGCCTATGTGCAGAAGTCGGTTTTCGGCCTGGGTGAGTCTATTTTGAAGAAGTGGCCTTAGAAGAAGTGGGGGTACGTTCGCTGAGGTCGACCCCTCAGATTGAGGATGTTTTTAGCAAAGGTCAGCTTAGGAGTACCCTAATTAAGTTAATAACAATGTACCTACCTGTATAGTTTAAGTTTAAAAAATTTGGCCCTCAAAAGAAATTTCAATCGTTGTACTGTTGATATTTGGCTCTGTTGACTAATGAGTTTGCCGACCACTGCCCTAACCCAACTCCGTGGAGCAGCACTATTTTGTGCTATTTTTTCAGGGCATGATACTTAGCTTTTTAGGCTCTGAAATTCAGTTGTGTGGGCATCCAGAGGTGTTCAGACCTTAAAGGCTACATCATCTAGGTCTGAGAAATAGCAGGAATCTGGCTGTCAGGCTAACTTAGCCCATGGGCCAGGGTGCTCACTGCCCTGGCCCCTCCTAGGGGCACCAAGTCTGCCTCTCATTCATACTTCACTTCCACCCCAGCCACAACCTGAGAGACATGCTCTCTCTTTAGATGTGTAACAAAAACACTTCAAGTAGCGTTATCTTTTACTGGCCTGGGAATCCTGCCATCTGCCTCTTTACTGTCACTTTCACTCCCCCTGGTAAGATTCTTTCTTTGCTTATATAATCCAGCTACCAGAGGGAAGAGTTTTCCCTTTATTTCCAACTTCTTAGGGAATCCTCATTTGGGGCCGTGTCTGCCACCTATGGCTACCAGATGAGAATCCGTGATCTCTAGGGCTACTTTTTATTTTGGGGTGTTTTTTTTTTTTTTTTGGTATGAAATGTTTTCTTTTAATTTTCAATTACAGTTGACATTCAATATTATATTAGTGTCAGCATGGTGGTTAGAGATTTACAGAGCTTACGAGGTGATCTCCCCTTAAGTCTAGTACCCACCTGGCACCACACATAGTTATTACAATATAATGGACCATATTCCTTATGCTGCACTTTACATCCCCACGACCGTTTTGTAACTGCCAATGTGTACTTCTTAATTCCTTCACCTTTTTCACCCAGCCCTTCAACCTCCCTCCCACCTGGCAACGAGTCTGCTTCTTCTCTGTATCTATGCGTCTGCTTCTGCTTTGTTTGTTCATTTATTTTGTTTTTCAGATTCCGCATATAAGTGAAATCATTTGTTATTTGTTATTTCACTTAGCGTCATACCCTCTAGGTCCATCCATGCTGTCTAGGACTAGTTCTTGCTGGGTGCAACACTTCCTCTGAGTTTCAGACTTCCAAGTAGAGGGACAGATGGCTATCTCTCTTTTGATGTCTCTCTAAATTGTTTCTATCCCCTGGACCTCATATCAAAGGTTGTGGCTTTTTAGTGGTTACAAGTAAGACCTGACTAGCTCCACCTCTAAAACCAGACAGTAGCAGAAAAAAAAAAAAAAAGAAACAGAAGGGCAGGGAAATAGTTAAACTCTTTAGGCACAGCAAAATTAAATTACTATTGCCCTAGCTGGTTTGGCTCAATTGGCCTTCGAACTGCGGAGTCCTGGGTTTGATTCCGGTCAAGGGCACATGCCCAGGTGTGGGCTCGATCCCCAATGGGGGGCGTGCAGGAAGCAGCCGATCAATGATTTTCTCTCATCATTGATATTTCTATCTCTCTCTCCCTCTCCCTTCCTCTCTGAAATCAATAAAAATATATTTATAAAAAAATTAAATTACTCTTCATTGAACAGATGCATGAACATCTCACTTATTCTCATGACACCGTTGTTGGTATTACCATTTCTACTTTACAGAGGAGGAAAATGAAGGTAGGAGATCAGACAATTTTTCTAAAATGATCCCAAATTAAGTCAAATGTTATTTCCCACCAGTTGTTAAGAATGTTGGGCAGCTGGCTTTCAGCACATTTCTTCTGTTGATTTCCAAAAGTCTCTTGTAATAAAAAATGACTGCCTGGGCAGTCCTACAAAAGCACATTCTTCATGTTGTTACTTGCTCAGCTTCTCCAAATGCCGTGCTAGAGGCACTTTTTAGATTGGCTTTCCTATTGTAATTGCCAATGGTTTCTGCTGCCCTTAGAATTTTAAACTGTATAACTTAGATAATTAAGATTATGTTTTCATTCTCTTAAAAATAAAAAAAAAATCCAACTTAATAAGGGCGCCAAATGGAAGAAAAGCTTTTCTGCACTAAGGTTAGAACCTAATAATCATACCGTGGTGTTAAAAAACTGCAAACTGCCTGGCCTGTGTGGCTCAGTGGTTGAGGGTCGACCCATGAACCAGGACATCAGAGTTTGATTCTCAGTCAGGGCTTATGCCCGGGGTTGTGGGCTCGATCCCAGTAGGGGTTGTGCCGGAGACAGCCGAGGGATATTTCTCTCTCATTGATGTTTCTATCTCTTTCCCCATACTCCTTCTTCTCTCTCTCAAAAACCAATAAAAACATATCTTTAAAAAATGAATGGTAAAGAAATAAAACACAATTTTTTAAAAAAGTGCAAGCTGCTGGCACATTCACTTTTCTCCATCCAGGAAGGATGTAATAGAAATGTCTAATAGTTTAAATTGGGTTTCTATAAAGATAAATGTGAAAGGAAAACAGATTTCTTTCTTCTTTTGTTTTTTTTTAATCCTCACCCAAGGTTTTATTTTTTTTTTTTTTCATTGATTTTTAGAGAGAGTGGAAGAGAGAGGGAAAGACAGAGAGAAACATCGGTGTGAGAGAAACACATCGATTGGTTGCCTCCTGCATGTGTCCTGATCAGGGCCTGGGCTGGGGAGGAGCCTACAACTCAACAGAGGTACATGCTCTTGACCAGAATCAAACCTAGGGCTCTTGGGTCTGCAGGCCGACACTCTATCCACTGAGCCAAACCGGCTAGGGCTCTTTCTTCTTTTGAAAAACAGCATCCCTTTCTATTTATAGTACACATGCTATCTCATTCTGGAAACGTTGGAAATTACAGAAAGTGTGAAAAGAAGTAACAGTTTAAACTCCCGCCTGCATGAAAGAGCCTCTGTAAACCTTACCGTGTATGCTTCCCTCCAGCCTGGAAAAGAGGTGTGTTTTTTTTTTCGATGAAAAGAATCCTCCTGCAAAATAATTAGATCAGTGACATGATTGTTCAGAATTAAAGGGAGAAAGGTGAACTGGCTGGGAAATCTTCTAATGCCTTCTACCCTTGCTCTGATATGATCTCTTCTGAGTAAGAGAGGACAGTGTGAATTGTAAGCTTGCCCCATCACGCTCACAGGTTCTCACAGACACAACCTTTTCCCTAGTTACTACATTAATTAGCAGTACTAGCCCAAGGTCAGCTTCATCGATCTTTTCACAGTGGGCATTCTCCTGAATATCCAAGTAGAATTTGGAATTTAAGGAGGTTTTGGGGATAATTTTTACTGCAGACATTTTGGGGAAGTAAAAAGTGAATAAAAGGTGATTTTACTTTGTAATCGGAGAGGGAAGTTTTGAAGTAATGGAGGAGAGGAGCACAGGACCAGAGGATGGTGTGGTGTGTGCTCCTGCCCAGCTTCCTGCACTGGGTCAGGCTGGAAGCTGGAAGAGCTGATTTGTGGAGCGACTTCAGGGTTGTGTGCCCCCAGGGCAGGTGCTGGCACAGGGGGTTAGATTTGGGAGAGAGCACACTTGAGGTTGGCTTTGGGGATTTCCCAAAGATGCCATCCTTAGCAGTGGCAATGGAAGGTCCTCCGAGTGACACCATGGGCAGGGGTTGTCTACGGCAAAAGACAGAGGAGAAGAACCTGGGGCCAGCAGGAGAAGAACCTGGGACTCCTCAAAGTCCCAGAAAATCAGAAAGGAGGCAGCGGGGGATTTTGCCAAGAAGGTTAGCGATCCTCTCTGAGTAAAAAAGTGCAAAATCAGTAAGCAGGCATATTCCTTAGGAACTGCGTTTGGCTGCTAATACAGAGACCTGAAACAACAGAGGCTTAAAGGATGTAGGCTCGGGTGGCTTCAGAGTCATCTGAATCCTGGGTCTATTCAAACTTTCTGTTCCACATCCTTCACCAGGAGCACAATGGTTCTCTCAGTTTCATGAAGGCTGTGGCAGCTTCTCCTATCACATCCATTTTGAGGTGGGAAAGTGGAATCAGGATGTGTTAGTTTATGAGGGCCGCCCTGACAAAGTGTCATGGACAGGTGGTTAAACAGCGGACATTTATTTTATCATAGTTCAGGAGGCTAGAAGTGGGAGACGAGGGTGGTGGCAGGGTTAGATTCTTCTGTGGCCTCTGTCCCTGCTTGTAGATGGCCGCCTTCTCCCTGTGTTCTCACAGCGTCTTTCTCGTTGGCCCTCTTTGTCTGTGTCCTAATGACACCAGTCATATTGAATTTGGGTCCAACCTAATAACCATTACCGCTTTAAAGGCCCTGTGTCCAACTACAGTCACGTTCTAGGGATTAGGACTTTAACATATACATGTTGGAAGGGAACACAAGCCAGCACATAGCAAAGAGGAAAAGCAAAAGGGTAGGTCTCAGCTGCTCAGCCCTCTTTAACGGGCTTTCCCTGAAGCCCCAACCCACAGCCACGTGCATCTCTTTGTGAAGAGGTGGGAAACGTAGTTTTTTACAACTTGACACTTTGCTGTACTTATTAAACTTGGGGTGTGGCTGGTAAAGAAGGGGGAAGCCCTTCCGGGGTGGTTCAGTGGTTGAGTGTCAGCCTATGAACAGGAGGTCACGGTTCCATTCCAGATCAGGGCACGTGCCCAGGTTGTGGGCTCTGTCCCCAGTGGGAGCATGCAGGAGGAAGCCAAGCAATGATTCTCTTTCATCATTGATGTTTTTTTCTCTCTCTCTCTCCCTCTTCCTTCCTCCCTGAAATCATTAAAAATATATTGGGGCTGGGGGGAAGAAGAAGAAGGGACATATGCATGATCCAGCCAGACAATGTATTAAAGTAAATGTGACCTCGTTCATGACCACATACTAATATAGCTCTGTAGCCGATGGCTTAGGTCTGTGAAGAATGTACATCAACTGACAATGGATATCTGTTCACCAGTGTTGATTCTGGGGCCTGTGTTATATGGCATGGACTGTGGTGGCTTTCCATCGCCATAGCCCCGAGGGCCTCCAGTGGGATGAAGTGTGTGTGGCTGCCTTTAGGAGGGTGCTAAGGTTCAAGTGAGGAAGAAGAGCAGCAAAGGAAAAAGCAAGAGAAATGAGAAAGGAAGTGTGGGAGTAGGGAGTAGGATGAGAACAGAGGAAAGGATAGACCGTGAAAACAAGTGCTGGGATGAGGAATAAGCGGGTCCCTTTTCCAGACACTGCAGTGCCTACTCCCAGTGACAGGGTGGGAGAGGAGAGGAGGGGCCGTGAGGGGGCTGGGCCCATTCTCTAGGCAAGCAGTGTCTCCAGATTAAGCCTGAAAGGAAACTGCGAGCCCTGCGGCAGAGGGGGGGCAGGCCCTGAGGAGCGCCAGCTGGGAGCAGTTCTAAAAACCTGGCAGGCTCGCTACAGGAAGCTCCAGCTCTTCAGAGAAAAGGAAATTCTTCCATTTGGTACTAGACCTCCTCATTTATGAGCTGACTGAGTTCTGAGTCATCGATTTCCCATGCTACTAACTAAAGGATGAAATGATGCTAAAGATGAATGTTATAAACATTGGGCTAATTATCATTTCCATCAAGGCCACTGCCGGTGACCCCTGTGTCCCCAGCCGCTGTGCGTGAGTTAGTCACTGAGGTTTTAAGTAGAAAGCATTATTTGATTTCTGATGCAAAAGCAGCAATGCCCTTCCATCAGCTGAGGCGGGCAGAGATCCCTAGACTGGGACGGAGGGACAGTGTTACCATGGTGATGAGATGCCTGGCTGAGCACTGAGCTAAGCACCCTCTATAGAAGAATAGGAAGAAGTTGTTCCTCACTCTCATCCCTGCTGAGTCATAGCTGACTTACACAACCCCCTCATTCTTCATTAAAAACTGGTATCTTGGAGTGGGGAGAATAGTGAGAACAATGGTAACGGTGGGAGGGGTTGGTGATTCACCATTATCATTTATGTTTTCTGGTTTATGCTTTTAATTAAGATATTGTTCTCTGCTGAGGGCATATATAAAGTGATTAAATTTTTAAACTCCAGCCACATTTTGAAGAGTGTGATATACTAGTAAGTTAGGTTATTAGCTATATAACATTGAACAGTATACTCAACCTTCTAAACCTGTGTCAGAATACACGTGCTTCCTTTTAAGGTTGACACTGGGAAGTAGAGAACACTTTCTCTGTTTGTTGACACATTCCTGAAGGTAGTATTACTGACTTTCTTTACATCCCCAGTGCTTGTGGCAAATGGTTTGCATGTGATTAATGAATGCTTAAAAAAAAAATCACTCCTATGAACACTCATACACTGCTGGTGGAAATACAAAAGTGTACTGGAAAGTAGTTTGGCAATTAAACATACATTTCTCATATGTGATGTGTAATTTTTAAAAAATATATACTTTATTGATGTTTTTACAGAGAGGAAGAGAAGGGATAGAGTTAGAAACATTGATGAGAGGGAAACATCAATCAGCTGCCTCCTGCACACCTCCTACTGGGGATGTGCCTGCAACCAAGGTACATGCCCTTGACTGGAATCGAACCTGGGACCCTTCAGTCCTCAGGCCAACGCTCTATCCACTGAGCCAAACCAGTGAGGGTGTGATGTGTAATTTTATGTGTCAACTTGGCCAGGTTATGATGCTCAGTTGTTCAGTCAAATACTAGTCTAGCTATAGCTGTGAAGATATTTTTTTAGACGTGATTAATATTTATAATCAGTAGACTTTGAGTAAAGCTGGTTACCTTCCATAATTTGAGTGGGCTTTATCTGATCAATTGAAGACTTTAAGAGCAAAAGTTGAGGTTTCCCAAAGAAGATATAATTATGCCTCAAGATTGCAACATAGAAACCCTCCTGAATCTCTTGCCTGCCGGCCGATTTTGGACTCAAGACTGCAACATCAATTCAACCCCTGCCCCTTCAGATAGAAGGATGGATAGATAGAATTTCCTATTGGTTCTGTTTTCTGGAGAACCCTGAGTAATATATCATACAATTCATCAATCCTAATGTTAGGTTTTTACCTATGAGAAATAAAAAAGTATGGTCACATTAAGACCTATCTGTGAATTTTCTATCAGCTTCATTCATAATTGCCAAGAATGAAAACCAAATGCCCTTCACTTGGTGAATCGAGACAAAACCATGGTTCATCCATGCAATGGAATATTAGTCAGCAATAAAAAGTAATAGTAGTCATAATACTATTAGTATACACAATTACTATTAGTATAATACTATTAGTATACAGTCTCAAAAGCAGCATGCTGAGTGAAAAAAGCCAATATCAAAAGTCCATATGAGCCTTTTAAAATAAAATTCTGGGAAAGGCAAAAATGTATGGATAGAAAAGACATTAGTGGTGCCAGGGCCTGGAGTTAGGGATGGGATTGCCAACCAAGGAGCATGAGGACATTTGTTAGGGTGATGGTATTTTCCTTTATCTTGATGGTGCTTACGTGACCATATGCACTTGTCAAAACTATAAGAACTGATGGAGGCGATGGTGAGAAAAGGAAAGACATGTCCAGAAAACAGAAGGAAATAAAATGTGGGCTGGGATTTATTTTAGAAATTTCAATATTGGGAATATATTAATATATTTCATCATATTAATCGATTTGAGGAGAAACATTATATAGTTCCCTCCAAGGTGCTGAAAATATATTTGATCAAATTCAACAGCTATGCTTGATAAAAATACTGACTAACTTAGATATAGATAGACATCTCCTTAACCTGGTAAAATAGACCAATCTCAGCTCAAAGGCCCACATCATACTTAATGGCAGAACTTAAAAGCATTCCCAGTGAAGTCGGAAACAAGCTGCAAGATGCCCATGGTTATTGCTTTTATTTAAGAGGGTGCTGTAGATTTTAGCTCATGCAATTAGACAAGAGAAAGAGTTTAAGCGTGTAACAATTGGAAAGGAGAAAACAAAATTACTATTTGCAGATGTTGTGATTGTAGACTTAGGGGCTTTACATATATTTACAAGTCAGAATCAGACAAAAGGAAGAAAAGCCCCATTTACATCAAAACGACAACAACAATAAAATTAAAATACTTCGGAGTAAACTAAACAAAAAAATGTGCAAAACCCATGAAGAAAACTTCAACAAGTTCTTAAAAATAAAAACAAAAACTTGAACAAATAGCAGGACAGATAATGTTCTTGGGTGGGAAGACTCAGCATTATACTAGTAAACATTTTAATTCTCCCTAAGGTAGTTCACAAGTTTAATTCAGCTTCCTCCACAATTTCAATAAGTGCATTTTGTTGCAATGTTTTAGTTTTGGATAATCAATCCTAAATTATATGTTAAAGCGTAGCTAAACTTGGCCAGCGTAGCTCAGTGGTTGAGCATCCTCGACCTATGAACCAGAAGGTCATGTTTGGATTCCTGGCCAGGGCACCTGCCAGGTTGTGGGCTTGATCCCCAGTATGGGGCATGCAGGAGGCAGCCAATCAATGATTCTCTCGTCATTGATGTTTCTCTCTCTCTCTCCCTTCTCTGAAATCAATTAAAAAGATATTTTTAAAAATAGCTAGAAAAACCTGGAAGTTAGAACAATGATAGAGGCAGATAGCAAAACTGGATATTAAATGTTTTTGAATCCTTATCAGAGGATATGTTTTTATTTATATTAGAGAGAGAGAGAGGGAGGGAGAGAGAGAGGAAGAGGGAGAAAGAGAAAGAGAAACATCAATGTGAGAAAGAAACATCTATCTGTTGCCTCCTGTACATGTCCTGACTAGGGATTAAACAACCAGGGATCAAATCTGCAACCTGGGTATATGCCTTGACCGGGAATCAAACCTAGGTACACAGGACAATACTTCAACCAACTGAGCCACACCGGCCATAGTGCAAAACTGGATATGAAAACATATTATAAAACTTCTTAATACTGGTGTCTGGAAAATACAAAGTTACCTCTGTACATCTCGTCTTGTCCCAGGATAAATTCCAAATGGATCAAAGATTTTTTAAAAAAATATATTTTATTGATTTTTTACAGAGAGGAAGGGAGTGGGATAGAGAGTTAGAAACATCGATGAGAGAGAAGCATTGATCAGCTGCCTCCTGCACACCCCCTACTGGGGATGTGCCTGCAACCAAGGTACATGCCCCTGACTGGAATTGAACCTGGGACTCTTCAGTCCCCAGACCGACGCTCTATCCACTGAACCAAACCGGCTAGGGCTGGATCAAAGATTTAAATGTGAAAAATAAGACCCTGAAAGTTCTAGAAATAAACAGAAGGAATTCCTTCAAAACCTTTGAGTGAGCTAGGCCTTTTGAACTCTGACTTGAAATCCAGAAGCCATGCAAGAAAAGTCTGATAAATTGAATACATAAAAAAAAAAAGTTTGTATGAAAATAAAACCCAAACCAAAAAAAACCAACAAACAAAAGAAAGTACATAAAATAAAAGGACAAACAACCTGGGAATAACATCTGCAACTCACATTATAGATAGTGGGCTGGTCTTCCCAGAATATAAAGAGCTCCTGGAAATTGAGACTACAGACTAGTAATCCAAGAGGAGAATGAGCAAAGCATGTGAACACCTGGAAGATTAGCAAAACTCCGAGTCTGATAATGTATTCTGTGGGTGCAGCTGTGTGGACATGGTGTTCTCATACACTGCTGGTAGGCGTGGAAAGTAGTACAATGCACGTGGGCGGGATTTGGTAACACTCCCCTAAATAACTAACATGTACAGCCACATAAAGACTGAACCAGCATGTCAACTTCTAGAAACTTACGCTACAGATATTCTTGGGGGCGGGGGAGGAAGAGATAGCTATATAAGGTTTATTATTGCATCATTATTGGCGAATGTAAAGAGTAGAAAAAAAGGTCTATCAACAGCAGATTGGCTGAATACATAGGTACATATATATACAAACATAAAATAAAATGGAAAAGTAATTAGGGAGTTGCTTATGTGCTGATGTGCCACTTTATTTAAAATGATAGTGGGAGAGCCATAACCGGTTTGGCTCAGTGGATAGAGCGTCGGCCTGCGGACTGAAAGGTCCCAGGTTCGATTCCGGTCAAGGGCATGTACCTGGGTTGCGGGCACTTCCCCAGTGGGGGATGTGCGGGAGGCAGCTGATCGATGTTTCTCTCTCATCGATGTTTCTAACTCTCTATCTCTCTCCCTTCCTCTCTGTAAAAAATCAATAAAATATATTTAAAAAAAAAATGATAGTGGGAGAAACAAACATATTGATTGCTTTTGGTTTTGCAAAAATGACAGTTGGTTAAAATGTCTTTTAAATGGTGGCACCATTAACCGATTTTTTTTTTTTCGTTTGTGGGTTAACAGCTCTCCTGTTCTGTAAGCGAACTGAGCTATTTCAACCTGGGCCGCCCTTGTTTTTTATTTTATTTATTTATTTTTTTTCGCCCTTGTTTTTTAAAAGCTCCAGCTCCAACCTAGTCTAATGCAGTGGTTCTCAACCTTCTGGACCTTTAAATACAGTTCCTCATGTTGTGACCCAACCATAAAATTAATTTCAGTGCTACTTCATAACTGTAATGTTGCTACTCTTATGAATCGTAATGTAAATATCTGATATGCAGGATGGTCTTAGGCGACCCCTGTGAAAGGGTCCTTTGACCGCCAAAGGGGTCGCGACCCACAGGTTGAGAACCGCTGGAATGGAATCAGAATCTCCTTTGGGGTCAATTTAGGCTTTTGCTTTAAAGCCTCATAACAAACTCCTCTCTCTTCTTCCTCCTCTTTCTGCCTGGGAAGCTCTAGAAATATAAATTAATAAGGTATCTGAAGCTCCTTATGCAGCCCTCCGGCCCAACAGAGGCAACCACTATCCTGACTTTCTTTTTATAAGGTTAAAAAAAATTTTGCAGGCCTTTTGACATGTTTGACTTACAAATCTTGTTCTCTTCTTTGCCACCCTCCAAGCACAGCTACTGGCTACTAATTAATTATAACTAACGACAGCTGTATAGTTACTTCCTCTTCTGAACAAGGTCCCTGGTCAAGTAATCATTGTAATCCGGAGCTGTTGCTGCTACTCAACTTTGCTTACACACTGATTTGCTATATGCAAATTCATCCTAGGCTAGGCTTGTTATTTTATCCTTCTTAGCTATTTTTGTCCCATAATGTTATGTAGTAGGAATGCAGTTGAATGAAGATGTTTTGAAAGTAAATAAAGTAAGTAGTGTTGACATAGTGTGGTGTTTCCCAACTCAAGGTATATCTCTCAACAAATAAGTTTCCTATATGGCTTGTGGAAATCAAGGAGGTGTGGTCACTATGGGTTGTTCAGAGTTGTTCTAACTCCTGCGGTGAGTGAATATGCCTAATTGACATGAGTAATTGCTACTTGAATTAAGCAATACATAATTCTGTGTAAAATCAACTGCAAGTGAGACATTGGACCAGGGGTGGGCAAACTTTTTGACTCGAGGGCCACAATGGGTTCTTAAACTGGACCGGAGGGCCGGAACAAAAGCATGGATGGAGTGTTTGTGTGAACTAATATAAATTCAAAGTAAACATCATTACATAAAAGGGTATGGTCTTTTTTTTCAATAGTTTTATTCATTTCAAACGGGCCGGATCCGGCCCGTGGGCCATAGTTTGCCACGGCTGCATTGGACAGTTAAAAAGAAGAAAATTAAGGTAAAAAGCAAAGGTTTGTAAGCAAACATAAATGATTGAAAGAATATAGGGAACTTCTGTTTAAAAGGATGATGGGAAAGATGTCTATGACATTGTAGCAAGCCATTCTCTAGAGGTTTAGTGTACTTAAATAGATTTTTAGTTATGGGAGTGAAGGGGGATCAGAGTATGTGGCCTCAGAATATGCCTCTTTGGCATATTTATTTTGAGCTGAAGATATCTGAGACCCAAGAAGCTTTATTAGAGCTTCCCTTATGAGGAGAAACTTGTGAGAAATGAAGACTGGCATAAACTCCCTCACTCAGGGGAGTATCCTATCTAATAATAGACAAACATGGTAATTGACCATACCTTCACTATGCCTCCCATTGGCTAATCAGCACGATATGCAAATTAACCACCAACAAAGATGGCAGCTAATTTGCATACTGCAGGCAGGGCGGGTCAGTGCCATCCCACCTGCCCTGCCACCATCTGGGCCTGCTATCTGCGACCCGGGGCGGTGGGCATCCCATGTGCGACCCGACCCGGACCAGCCAGGCGGGGCAGCAGCAATCGGCCTGCCCGCCCGGGCTTCCTGTGTGCGACCCGACCCAGGGCAGTGGGGCGGGACAGTGTGGCTCCTCTGTCACCCTAGCTTCCTCATCACAGCTCCCTTGGGGGCCTAAGCCTTTAGTCAGACATCCCTCAAGGGCTCCCTGGCTGCCAGAAGGATGTCTGACTGCAAGCTTAGGCCTGACCCCCAGGGAGTGGGCCTAAGTCGACAGGTGGACATCCCCCAAGGGGTCCTGGGCTGCAAATGGGTGCAGGCCGGGGTGAGGGACCCCCCCCCCCCATGAGTGCAGAAATTTTTGTGCACTGGGCCTCTAGTCTATAATAATAAGAGCATAATAAGCTAATTAGACTGGATGTCCTTCCAGATGAAGCTGGGGCTGTGAGGGAAGCCCGGGTCCCGGGTACCTGTCAGCAGCCAGAGGGAAGCTGGTGCCGGCAGCCGGGAGAAGGAAGGCCTACTCTTTCATGTATTTCATTCATCGGGCCTCTGGTTATGGACATAAGAAAATGGAAAATAGGTACCAAGATGATCTGCATGAGCCTTACCTTCCTTATCTTCCATTAGTTTCCCCATATATTTACTTTTCCACAATTTACTGCCCCTAGAACTTAACAACCCTTTTCCTTGGTCTTGTCACTTCTTCACAAATTTATTGCTCTTTGTTAAAATGGTATATAAGTATCCAGGACTGACCACCTCTTTGGGATTTTCATTTCATTTCTATAAGTCCCCTTATATGCATATGTAATAAACCCTTTTCTCCTGATAACCTTTTTCAGCCTAGTTTGTGGGGTCTAATGCCCAGGGCCGTTCCTGCCGCCTACAACACAGTTAAAATGCTATGGTCTAGTCCAGCGGTTCTCAACCTGTGGGTCACGAACAATGAAAATACATCCTGCATATCAGATATTTACATTATGATTCATAACAGTAGCAAAATTACAGTTAGGAAGTAGCAACGAAAATAATTTTATGGTTGGGGGTCACCACAACATGAGGAACTGTATTAAAGGGTCGCGGCATTAGGAAGGTTGAGAACCACTAGAGTCCTTTGCTAGCCATTGACGGGGAAGGAAGCAGAGGGGGAGTCAGACATTGTCGAGCATATTCAGCAGGGAAGCAGCGGCCTGTTTGCTTCACCGGGAAGCGACAGCTTCATGCTGCCCCCACAGGAACTCCCAGTCCACTCCCAGCAGATCACTAGGGGGAAGAGACGGAACAAAAGGGGCAGTAAACACATGTACAATAAAGTCAAAATGGCACAGGGGGAGGCGCTGGACCATAGACGTCTGCCAGTCTAACCTGGGAAAGGGATCATTGAAACCCAATGCAAACCTGTGAACGCTTGGGATGTTGGAAGTTGATTGGTTGCTTTGAAAAAGCTTCTGGTTCCTCCTGAGCCCGAGAATACATAATTCCAGGAGAACAAAGAGTCTCCCTTCCTCCCTGTCCCCTACCCCTCACCCCCCTCCGCCTCTGTGACTCCCACTCACCCTGTGCCTTCGCCTGTTCTCCCTCCAAAGCCATGTGGTGGCCAGCTGCCACCAAATGCTAGACTGAACTAAGTTTTAATATGGCACATAATCGCTGGATATTTGCTCTATTTTTGGCCCTGACCCTGATTTTCCATGGCCAGAGGGACAGAGCTGGGGCATTGGGGACAATGTCTCAGCACTGTCCATAAATTTGATTTTACGTCACAAATAAAGACTGCCAACAGACCTCATCCTCCCTTACAGGTCCCTGGAAATGCTTTTCCTCCAGACACCACTGCAAGAACACGACATCCAATGACAACAAAACTAGACTATGAAAATGCATTCTCTATATGATCCTCTTTATATAAATGGATACATATACATATTAATTTTTATTTATTTTCTATTCTTTTCATACGATAAAGGTCTGGAGTGGTAAATTCCAATGGATGTTTAACTGTGCCCTGAAGAACTCTAAGGTGCCAAGTGGTGCTTCAGGACTCAACTTGGGGGTTGAGGGCCAAACCCTTGGGCTTCAGGCTGCCATCCTCTATTTAAAAAAAAAAAAAAAATCTATTTTACATGCTAATGAAACCAAAATGTGGGAGTTTGAGTTCAAGTTCATTGTCTCGAAAAACCGAAGAATGGACTCATGGACAAAAAATGGTTAGTGGAACTGAAGTTTATTGAGAGAAGCCAGCCCTGGAAGAGGTGCAGCTAGGGTTACAGGAGAGTAAACTGTAGGCCAGTGTCCGGAGCTTCCGTTCCATGTTGCAGCCGGGTGTAGTTCAGCCTCCGAGCTAATGAAGGTCTATTAGTGCATGTGTAGAGTCCCACATGGCTTATGCTCCTTCTCCCTCCCTTCCCCCTGTCTCCCCCCCCCCCCCCCCTCCTCCATTG